TGTTACTTACAAAAACTAATATTTATATAATATGTGTCAGAACGGTACCGCTGTTGTATCACTACAATTATGAGTGGAAAGGTGACATTTTTGAAATTTATTTGCTTCTTTGATTCGTTGGTAGAACTGATTCATGCGTCAAAAAACTTGACAAAGTCTGTAGCAGTGTAAAACCACACTGTTTACCAATAAATTCGTGAATTAATTCATGAAGAACTTCGTCAATTTATTCATCAATAAATTGTCAATGTAAAACAGCTATTAGAACATGCTCTAATTCGTCAAGAACTTGATGAATAAATTCATGAAGTTATTTGACAGCAGATTTGGTGCATTACACTTGTCCAATTTCTTGATGAAGCGACTTCATGAATTAATTGATCAATAAATTGTCAATGTAAAACAGCAATTAGAACATGCTCTAATTCGTCAAGAACTTGATGAATAAATTCATGAAGTTATTTGACAGCAGATTTGGTGCATTACACTTGTCCAATTTCTTGATGAAGCGACTTCATGAATTAATTGATCAATAAATTGTCAATGTAAAACAGCTATTAGAACCCTTAAGAACTCTACAGCTTTCAAAAATTACCCGCAAAGTGATTCTTATGGCTTTTTACGTTCCAACCTTTGGTACAGAAACTGAAACATCTTTAAGTACGTGCTTTAACGGTAAATTTAACGCAAGATAAAATTTATCTGATGTTGCAAAAGATATATTGTAATTGCAAAGTTGTGAAAATATTTACAGCTCGCGACAAATGCCATTTCAACCGTGACCTTGAAAAAAGGATGGCGCAACGACACACAACACAACTGAAAGAATGATGGGAATACAACTTTAAATACTGCACTTAATTTGGCTGAAAATTTTTTATCCAAACATTAACCTCTAACACAAGTAGGTAATTTTTTATTGATAAAATCTAGTAATACTCTGCTCTGTTGAAATTCATCATGATAAAACCTACAATAGGTGTCTTTCCTACATCGTTTACCTTTAACCATCATTAACTACATTTCTAAATGCATAACGGACCAACCCAGTGTGATAAATCATCAAAATGCGGCAAAGCGCAAGTCGTCAACCAAAGATTACATCTAAACGAGGCAGCAAAAGTTAACAACCTGTACCCCATGGACATGTAATGTTACATATTCGTAAGGTGAAATTTCGTTTTTGGGTCGCATGCATTGCCTGTCGACGATTATTATTTATTATTCATATTAATATGATTGCGGCCTATCGATCGCCAAATTTAGAGCGACATTTTATACGAGTGATGAATAATGTATCTCTTAAATTAACATATAATGATTGCAATGTGAGCTAACTGCGATTTTCGACGTGGGCTATTATTTACCAGATGGAGAACGGTGGTGTAATATTTTGTGTTTATGGTGTCCAAAACAAGATAGAAATATACAGGGTTGACATGTTGACAATACAATTTCAGTCATCCAGTACTGTAGTCAAAGAAATACCTTCTCTGCTATATTTTTCAAATAATTTTTTAATAATTCTTGATTTTACCGCATAAGAAAACGTTATTAGTAAATGTATTGCCAATTGTCATCTTTTATGTGCGTTTATTCCGCGCAGTATATATTAAATAGCAGTAAAGTTCGTACTGTTGGATAAATAGGTTTTATTTTGAGTTGTGACCTTGAACAAGTCTATCATATTAAAAAGAAGTTGATCTTCTTTGTTCTGTAGATCTATGAGTGCGTTGAAATTTTTAAATTTCTTAGAGAAATTGATTATTTGCATGCATTATTTACATGCAAAATAAATTTAGCAAACGATTTACTGAAGAAATTTAAAATTCCCTCCTCACTCAATCACGCATAGACCTACAGAACAAGAAGAGTATACTTCTTTTTAATATGGTTGACTCGCTCAAGGTCAAAATTCTTTATATTGTTGAAACTTAATTACAGAGATCCAGAATGATTAAAGTGTTTGGAGATCACAGCCTGTGCCTGTCTCTGTCAATACAATAGATTTTTATATGCTAAAGAATTAAAGATGGTGTTAGAAATAGGCTGCGTTTCCCAGACGCTTCAATCATTCTGGATATCTCGGTATAATGTCCTTGCTGATCTATATATTGTACCTACTGTACTAGTACAACTAAACAGTATGAATTAAACAAATTAGACAAATGGCATTTAGTTAACTTGAACTGATTCTGGGACTGAAATTATGATTAGTACGTGACTGGACTAAATAAACACAAAACACACTTTCAGTAAAATATAATCTTTTCCATTGGGTCACAAGCAATATTCGTATGAACTAAGGCGGAAAATCCTAGTCAAATTAGTCACTGTTTTCATATAATTGAAATGTCATCTTGGGAATTCCCAAATTTGATATCTACTAAATTTTAATACTGGTATTACTAGTTACGAAACTATGCCAAAAATTGATATTTCAACACTCAGATCACTCAAATATAAACAACAATTAGTACGGAGACGCAATCAAAACAACTGTCAAATCTGAGTGTCAGCTCTGTTTAGTACAGTCATTGAAGCTTTTCACCTCCGAATTCTTTGAAACTAAACCGATCGACGTGAAATTTGGCAGATATTTAGAGAAAAGATCAATGAACATTAGTGACATAGCGCCGACTGACGCTTCTACCCTGTTTGGGAATTGACACCCCTTCTCGAGGGTGGAAAATTTTTTTCAAAAATAACGCTGGAAATCGATAGAGAATCAAATTTTGAGCAAAAAATATTCGAAGAATTTTTTAGAGAAATCAATAGTTTTTTAGTTATTCACGATTGAAAACTTGGAATTTTGAGTGAAAAGTATTTTTGTGTACGGTAAAAGTTGAAAACGTATTTTTCATTATTCAAAAAAAAATGCCATATTTATATAATAACTCTGAAACTATGAAAGATACGCAAAAAATGATAGACAACAAAAATGTAAAATTTCAACAAATATTTTGCGTTTTTTATTCCTATAGCAAAAAAATAAAGGAGATATCGCCGCTTGTAGTATCCATTTTAGTGAAAATAACGACCTGTCTCGAGCCTTTCGATCCTTTCCCTTTAAAAAACGAAGAACTTAAAAGGTTTTATATGAAAAAGATCTTTCAGCTCTTGAAATTATCTTTAAAATGCTTTTTTGTAGGATACTATAGCTTCAAAATTAACTGAGTTATGGTAAAAAAAACAATGACATTTTTTCGGGGCAAAATAGGCTTTCTCATTTTTATATACATATATATTATATTATACAAATAAAATAAGTAAAAAAAATTAGTGTGATTATTTATATGCAGCGTACCAATTTTTTTATGATTGATTATATTTAAAAATCGAATAATAAAAATATTTTGGTAAAGGGTAGTTTATAAGAGTTGAAAATGGCAAAAGTGAAATATTCTTTCATAAACAATATAAGGGAATTTTTATTTTAAATTATTGCACAATTATAGCATTCCAAGATTTAAAACGGAATTTTTTATCATTTTTTTTAGCACAATTGTGATTTATAAAGGTTGAAAAGTGTTATGAGATACAAATTCTGTCATAAGCAATGAGGGAATTTTTATTTTAAATAATTGCACCGTTAAAGCATTCCAAGCTTTAGGGGTTGAAAGGGAACAATTCGTTTATTAGCTATAAGGTAACTTTTATTTTAAATAATTGCACGATATAATCATTCCAAATCTTTAAAAAGTAATTTTATATCATTGTTTTTTGCATAGGGGTAGTTTTTAAGGGTTAAATAAAGGGTCGAAAAGATCAAATATATCCGAGAACATGGACATAATCTTTGTGCTTGACCAAGATTTTTATCAATAAAATGCTTAAAACTTAATTTTTCAATTTTTTTCACTTAGGGGTAGTTTTTTCCTCTAAAAAACAAAAAGCATCAATCGGGCTTATGTCACTTTTGAACTTGAGCCTAAGCCTTGAACCTTATTCTAAATTTTCATGCAAATCCATGCAGTTTCAAAGAATTCGGAGGTTACAGCCGATTTTCAGCTTCAATAACTGTACTAGTTTTGTTTTAACTGCGGTAGTCAAACTGCAATCTAAAACTAATACTCAACAAACGTCCGCCGTTTGCTAAAGTTTCTAGATGGTCAATGGACTTTAAATTTGGCCAATGGGTACAGTTTCATCCAATAGTTATGATTACATTCTTATGATCAGTGTTTATGAACTGTTAACATTGTGCGTATCGATTAAATAGGTATTTGAAATGCGTAGTCCTCGCTTTTACCATCAAACTTCTTTTGCCCGCGAACACGTGTAAAATACCCTGAAAGTATAGTAATAGAATTACTTACACTTGTAAGTGTTATAACCGACTAGCATTGAATTATACCCACAATATCTAAACAGCTAGGATCATTCGTCAACCAAATCCACCAGACACATAACGGTTTCGAACTTATTAGTCCTCACCGGTATGCCATAGGTGGCGACAAGCGATATAGTACTAGGCTGTATATTTTACTGTATATTTTACTTCATGTTAGTTACATGGGAGTATATTTTTCTATTTTTATATTCATTTTCTCATACGATCAAGCGAACACAGAGGATGTGCGAAAGCAGAAAAAAATAGTAATAAGCCGCATGTATAACTAGAGCGCGACGAACGTGTCGGTGTAATTTACCACCAAGTTCCCTTTCAGAATGTCTAATCACTGTTATGACCGAATGATCACTAATTGTATAGCATCATAGCATATAATTAAGTTATTTTTACTAGAAAATATATTTAATAATAATGAAATGGTTTCATAGCATCAAAGAAAAAATATTTTTGTGAAAGGTACTAATTAATGTACCACGTTCCAAATAGATTCTACGAAACATCCTGTAAGGTATTCTAATACGTCTTATGTAGATGCCTGCCTGGGAAGGCAAGCAGGAATGGCACACGATTGTACACGATTTAATTTATTTAATTTAGACAACGGAAAGTTTAAATATAACTTTATGAACATTTTTCTTTGTTTCAGAAGTTGAGGAAAGCCTATACGAACTAGGAACATTCAAAGAAAACCCAATATTCGGCATTTACGATCAAAAGGGAAGATTCCGCAGAGTCGCTCTTCCAATATCGTATTCAAAAAGTGTCAATAGAGATCGCAGCTTAAGTTTTGCGTACGGGGACTATGAGTAAGTTATAGGCGGTGTTTGAAAAACCTGAAAATTTTCTTAAAAATTCAATTTTTCTTTCAGATATGACCCATACAGTGGACCGAGGGCGGATATTTACAGCAAGCTGGACGAAATTTCAGACGAGAAAGAGCAACCACCGCCCACTTATCAGCACGTTCATAGGAGCAGAGGAAAGCCTGAGAACTTCGGTTTGAGCCAGTACGGTCATTTGAAAATTGACTATTCCTACAGTTGGAATAATTTAAATAAATACATTAAGTATACTTAATTTAGTGTTTGCGTAATATTTTTTCGAGGAAGGTGTTTATATTGTCACGATTGCTCAGTTCATATGCAGCTGCAGTTTTAGATAAACAGAAGGTAGGTATAATTTTTTGAAGCGACAATTTTAAACATTTTTTAAGTTGGTAATTTGAGAAATATTTGCTTTTACAAGACTGTACAATGTTTATCGAGATAGTGTATTCATAAGATATATTTCTATAAAGCATTTTCGTAACTTAATTCTATTATTCATCATTCATTATTACATAAACAACGGAAATAATTTATGGAAATGCTTTTTACAATAAATTTTGTGTGTATATAATTTAGTTATTTTAAAGAAATGTAAATATTTATAATATATGTATTCTCGATTCTGCATACATAGAAACTAAGCACATATAAAAAAGTTTTTTTATTTCTACATAACCCATTCCTGTCCTCCGAATAATATAAAATAGTTTCTATCCTCTTATCCAGAAAAAAATATTTATATTTATACACAACCCTTTAAAACTTAACACGTCCGCACTGAAGATATCTAAAAATTGACAAAACGTCAATTCTTGATAAAATAATACCCTCAATTATTCAAATTTCGAATAAGAATCTAAATCGGGCTATACATATGAGTAACTAAATAAGAGGGTTTTATTCTGTGTATTCTGTCGGCAGCAGCAGCAGAGTACCGCCATCTGTAGCTGGTGCAGCAAACGACACACTCGGAAACCACAGACCATAAAATAATTAAGGAAACTGCATTGGAAAACACAGTTAGAGTAATCATTAATTCTACTATCTAATAGATGTCGCTGCACCATAATGGTGGTAAATTTAAATGTAACAAAATACACAAAGAATATAAAGTGTTTCATAAGTAATAGATCACAAAACAGCTATTAATAGTTTAAGTTAATCATTGAAATTAACGTCTAACGTGAACCATTAATAGCTGTTCTTTACCCATTACTTAAGAAACATTTTAATTATCACTTGGTTAAATGAAAAAGCAGTGATACTTAAATGTGTGACAAATATACAAATTCATTTTGTTATGAATTCGAAAATATTTAAGTATCAAAAAAATGTACAGGGAAACTCTTGTAATTATTATTTTCTAAAGAAACCATTAAAAACTGCAAATTTTAAAGAATTTGAAAGAATTATTTACATGCCTTTATATAAAATGCATTGCACACTGACTTGACAAAAATTATGGTTAGATACATTTGTTTCGAAGTAATTGGTTAGCACTTATAGTAAATAAAAATTTTAAACATATGCATTTCGGTTTTTTAAAATGTGGAGGTGAAAAATCATCCTAAATTGAAGTTCGGCAGCTCGTACTCTGAAAATTCTGTAATGTTACGTTAACAAACTGTTTTGCTGAAGTTGGATACTATCCGATGATACCGAGGTGATATTATTACAATTAATAGGTGAACTTGTAGTTGATCCTAAAAATAATGTTGGCAGTGTTGACACAGCACTTCTTATTACTGTTTTTTAAACATTTTTTACTCAAAATGGTCTTCACAAAAATAATGATGTGTTTGTTGGAGTAAATTCTGATTTACATAATTTTCGAACTGATTCTATCCACAGTAATTGTCTGTCTTCTATAATTATGAAAAAACTTTTATTTCTATAGAACGTATTAGATATTTATATAGTAAGAAATGCTTTTGCAATTTGGAGCACAACATTGACGTTTAGTTCTACCAGGTAAACTCATTTTGGATAAAAAAAAACGAATTAAAAACAGTAAGGTAGTTCAGACGATTGATTCAATAAATCCCTTATTATATTAATCTAAAACAAAACAAATTTATTAATGCATATCCTGAAGGTAAACTATAACCTCAAACTCAAACATTCTACGTTAATTTGATTGAAATATTTCAGTCAACGCATTCTATTTGTATTGATTAAAAGATTGGAAATACAGATTCGATCTGTGGTTGCAGATTTCTGTTTAACAATTTATTTCTATAAAAGACAATGTTTTGCTGCACCAACGTGAGATGGCCTCAGTGAATGCATGCTCCGTCCACCCTAACCAATAAAATCCTCTCATTTATTTTATTTACTCTTATGGGACTATACATAAGAGTATATAAAAATTATTTCATCTATTAATTGTGTCGATATTAATGTCGAACTCAATAATGTATTTGAAAATCGAGGAGATAGACATTTGTATATGCTGTACTGTAATGTGTGTTACATAGCATTAGGCGCTATGCTATTGCATGAACATTTAAAAGAGAAGGGGGTGGGAACGGAATGAGTGAATTCCATAACCTCAAAATAAATATGATTCTTTTAACAAATTTAAACAGACTTTGTGCGAGATTTTTCACGAGTAGTGCTTCTCAATCGCCGAAGACTTTATATAAGTTCCTAATACGGCAGTGCAAGAAGTTACCCAAAGGACCAAGGGAACATTATCAATTTCAAATAAAACAGGTGAGGTTAGGAAATATTCCTAAATTTCGTAAATATTAATAAGTTGTTATTAATAGAGTTTCAAACAACATATTAATGAGACGGACCCAGAACGAATAAAAGAAATAATAAAAAGATCCTACGAAGATACAAATTATGTAATAAATAAGGTAAGTTTTGTTAAGAATATTAAAGAAAAATGTCATCTTTTCTCTTTTTAGTACTTAGGAAAGAAGTAAACATGTTTTCAGTTCCGCTAGTTACTAGTACCACAGTTATAACACCCTCAGTATTCTGGGACGTTGTAATGTTATATCACAATAGGCCTCACGTAGTAAACCGTAAGCTTCTAGCTGCATCTCAAGTTCTGTTTTACAAAATAAACTTTCATTCTAAGAGCATTGCACATATATGTGAAATATTTACACGTTCTGCAGTTCTGTATGAAATGAGAAAATTGAAGAAACTTACGAGGGAAAATGTTTCCGAAAGCTTCCTTAGAGGACTCTTGGAGTGTTACGACAAAAATGTTACTTTAAATGCTGTATCTACGAATGATTTCAACGAACGATGTGAAGGAATTTTTATATCAGTCAGAATTTTAATATCGAGGAAAAGTAGTAACGAATGTATGGAAATAGTAATTTTTGACAAAAATGAGAACACTGCGACATTTTTGGCTGTAAGTGAAAAACATGCACATCCCTTGGCTCCTCCGTTTCCATACAACGTCGAGCTGACATCCTCTGGAAATCTAAGAATAAAATTACTTAATTTTGAAGATGCGGATACCGCACATGCCGAATGGATCGCAGCCAAGCTGTTTCCAAAACTTTTAAAATGGACAGACGAAGACATGGATTTAACTGACACCACAGGTTCTCTATCATTGATATCCATTGACGATTACTCTTGTACTTACGGACGGATAAAATCCAAGTACGGAAATGATTTAGTGAAGGTTTGTGGTTTTTATTTGTGATGTTTTCGTACTAGACGATTATTTATTTTTGAAGGAATGGCCGAAAAAGACTAACACAGACCCAAAAAAATATGTATTCGAGGATTTGGCTATAGCAAGTTATTTAATATGTTTATGGAGAAAATATGAGTTCAGTGATATCAAATTTGTAGATTGCGGATGTGGGAACGGGCTTCTTGTTTATATTTTGAACAAGGAAGGGTATAAGGGCTATGGCGTAGATATAAGAAGGAGGCCAGTATGGGATATTTATCCCAAGGAGACACAGCTCAAGGTACAGTATATGTAGTCATAGTCCCATCAAATTAGATTTTTAGATTCCAAAATTTAGTTCAGTAAACAAAGACACCTAAAAATTAGGAAAAATTCCGTAGAATTGAATGAACTACTTTACCCCAGCTGGATATTAAGGCTTCATTTTCAAAATGGCACACAAAGTTTGCAAAATCTGGTTTTTTTCATTTAAAGAAAAACATTTTAGGAAAAAATGTTTTAGACAAAAGTTGTAGAACTTTTTATAACAAAAATTTTAAGCCCAGCCTGATGTCAATTGATAAAATCTCATTTTTTTTTAAATAAATAAGATTTTAGATAAGTATGGAATTATCTTTAAAACGAAAAAAGATTTCTTTTCAGAATATGTAGTCCTAGTAATATGTATGCGAGTAGAATAAGTGCATTTTTGTAAAATTGCATATTTGACAGTTTTTGCAAAAACAGTTTCGAAAAAAAATTCCAGTTTCAATAAATCATACAGTAATGCACTTATGTGACTCATCCTGGGATTAAAATTCTAAAAATCTACTGAAACTTTGACTTCTTTTTTGTAGATCTTTTTATCGTTGAAATTTAATCGGAATGGCATTATTGCCATTTGAGAGCTGATATTTTTTCACGAATTTCAAAAAAATTTGTCATTTACTATTAAAGTCTGAAATTTACACGTTGTAGTTGAATACTTTTACTTCAATTTAAAAAATAGTACGCATGACCGACCCCGTTTTTTTACAGTAAATTTAATTTTGTTGGGCCCCATACAGAACGAACAACTGTTCAAAATTGAGCAGGCATACCGAGCTCTAACTGAGAATGCTTAGTCACAGTCTTTCTCCCGTCACCGTGCGCATCAACATGTCGAGCATTTTATGGGGCCCAATAAAATTAAGTATACTGTAAAAAAAGGGGGAGGGTCAATCATTGCCGACTATTTTTTATATTAAAGCAAAAGTATTCAACTACAATGTGTAGAGTGACCGTTTTTTTACAATTCGCAGAGAACTAAAGAAAATAGATAAAAATATGCTTTTGGTCTCAAATTACTCATCGTAAAAAATTAATATGAGCATAGCTTTTAGTTTTTTGGAAATTTTCAAAAATCACTCCTATTTAGGGGTTGAAAAGACGCTCAAAATGAACGAAATGAATATAAAAACTATTAGCATGTGAATTTTTCTATCGAATGATTTTTGATACAAAGAAAGATTAATTCTCATGACTGAAATAAGCATGTTGAATTAGAAAATCCACCCTTAAGCGCGCTCAGGGGGTGGAATGATCCCAAAAAATAGAGAATATCAGAAATAAATGTAAAAATTCCAAATAAAATATATTAAGATAATTCACATGCTAATAGTTTTTATATCAATTGGTAATATTGAAATTCTTCATTTTGGGAATTTTTTCAACCCCTAAGTAGGGGTGATTTTTAAAATTTTCAAAATATTAAAAGCTATGCTCATTTCAGTTTTTTACAAGTAATTTGCGACCGAAAACATATTTTTGTATTGTTTTAATTCTCTGCAAATTGTAAAAAAACGGGCGAAAATCACAGGTTTTTTGTAGTCACTCTTTCAGACCTAATAAAGGTCGTAGCAATTTAGAAAAAAATTCTCGGCGTTTGTTGGTCATAGGTCATTTTTTTTCAAATTTGTGAAAAAATGTCAGCTTTCAAATGGCAATAATGCTAATCCAATTAAATTTAGGTCTACGTTTTTCGACGCAAAAGAAAAAGTCAAAATTTCGGTACATTTTTTGCACATTTCCAATTATTGTGCAATACACAGGAAAGTACAAATCTTCTCTAAATGTTATAGTTTGTTTTATCATATAAAGTAATAATGATAATAAGTCGTCAAAATTTTTATTTATTTCAAGTATCTTAAACTTGATCATGTGATATCTCAAGAACTATTGAATTTTTGAGATTTATTTATAGAGCACAATTTGTGTAAATTTTAAGATTGATGTACAAAACACATTTTCTAAAATTCCTTTGAAAAAAATTGATTTGAATTAGTTGCCATCTACAATTTGCTTTGGAAGATTCTACTTGAGGATTTCATTGCCATTAAAGTCCCTAGAATGATAAAATACCTCAACCATCAGCCATTTTGGGGCAAATTTCCTATTACCAACCATGAAATATAAGATTGAATCCCCAATATAAACTAATGTGTAAAGTTAAAGGGTCAAAAGAATATCCGAAATTTTTCCGTGATCTTTGACAGACTGTATTTAGGTGAAAAATGGTTGTATCAAGAAGTTTTTTTCAGCTAAAAAAAAATTCGCAAAATTTTTTTGTCGCGCTATTTCTTAGAATTGCATGATAACCATAGCTCATAAAAAATTTCGACAGAAAGATCTAAAAATTAGAATCTTAGACCTTCAAAATGATTTTTTTTTAATTCCCGATACGACCATTTTTCACCTAAATACAGTTTGTCAAAAATCACGGAAATATTTCGGAAATTCTTTTGACCCTTTAATTTTTTGCATTAGTGTATATATTTTTTGAATTTTGAAAGAAATATTAAAAATATTATTCAATTTTTTATTAGTCAGCATTTTTTTGTATCGGTTAATCCAGGAAAGTAAAAATGATTTAATTTTGAGACTTTTTTCATGTAAATAACAAATAAACATAAAAATGTAGGTATAGTTAATAAAAGCGGAATATTTACAAATGTTGAACACAGAGCGGTATCTGTCAAACTGCCATTTTGGAACAAAATGAGACCAGCTGTGGTACTTGGTCAATCCGGAGACTTTAACTGGTCTTTGAGAAGCTTAATTTTGTAGGAAATCAAAAAAAATCACTTATTCGTACTGATATTTGTCTCTAGGTGGGGACAGTTACCCCATCTTCTGTATTCGCAAACTGCACCTGGATAATAGGCAACCACTCGGACGAGCTAACGCCCTGGATTCCGGTGATAGCTATGAAAAGTTCACCGCAAACGAATATTTTTGTTATCCCTTGTTGCCCCTACGATTTCAGCGGACAGAAATACGCCAGAACTAATTCATTTGTCAGTCAGTATTCCGACTATTTCGATTACATAACGAATATTTACAACACGTGTGGTTTCGATACGAAAACAGATAAACTCAGAATACCTTCTACTAAAAGGAGATGTTTGGTAGGAGTGAGGAAAAAGCTTAGCGAAGATGAAATGAATAGGATTAATTCTGATGTAAATACGTTTATTGAATCTCGTTTATCGTCGACTAATTTTAAGGCTAGGCCAAACACTGAAGCTGTGAGAAACTGTACACAATTAAATAGGGATTTAATCCATAGATTAATTTGTGCTTGCGTTAATAGTTTATTAGTTCAGAAGAATTATATAAAGAAAGCAAACGGAAACGACTGGAATAAAGGTAGCAGCCTCACTATAGCAGATTTATCCAAGGCGATAGGAAAAGACAATTTGAAACAATTAAAAGAACAATGCGGAGGACTGCAGACGCTTCTCAGAAATCATAGATATCTTTTTGATATTCGCAGGGATGTCGTATATTTAAGGGAACCGCCTGTATTGAGTGAGGATACGAAAAAATATAAGGGTAAGCCTTGTTGGTTTTGGAGACACCATCCTGATGGTTGTCTGCATAGTTCAAGTGACTGTTCTTTTAAACATGGAGATTAAATATATGATATAACTATTATGTTGGTTCTTATTATTGATAATAAAGTTTAAAAAATTATTTAAATGGTACCACTTATTTATGCCTAAACTTTAAATACATTTTAATGCTCATGACATGTACTTAAATGTCCCAACATATCGAGTCGAATTTCCCTAGAATTCCATAATTAAGATGAAGAAAATAATCTATGCTAAAACTGGAATAAAAAAAAACCTTACCTTATTGCAAAATACTCCTTATAATAATCTGTGGAAATAAATACTGTAAAGTACTAAATATATTTTCCCACAACGTTAGGTTAAAAGTTTAGTTCAAATTGAACCATAGAAAATTTATTGTGTTATCTATGAATTTACCCACAGAATATACAATAACAGTATACATGTATTCTATATTCTGTGGACCAATTGTACCGACAAAAGTTACAAAACCACAGCATCTCATTAACGTCTACATAACAAACGGAAAATAATGAAAAATAATAATTAATTTTTCAAATATTGATTCCGTAAAAATTTACAGGTAATTGTGGTTCTCAAATATTTCACAGTAATTAATAATTGGCAACACTACTTTTACCTACAGTGACTTTCTTGAGATATCATAAATCATTGTTTTTATATGCTATGCTCAGATTTAAATATAAGATATGCATTTATCTACACTTCATTATTTTTATTACTATATATAGTAATAATAGTTTAAACAACAAATTGCTACTTTTTGAGGAAAGCTTTTTTAAATCTAAGGGTATTGACTGTGCTGCCCCCTGGCCGCGGACAGCCTAACTTATCTCACTTCTTTAGCTCTAGTTATCTTGGAGGGAGCAGTTGTATACAATTCTTGATCTTGGAGAATGGACCTTCTTGTCATAGACATCCATTGCATAATTAACAGCTAGCTCCAGCTTGTATGTAACTAATGCATAAAATGCTTGTTCTGTATTTGTTATTAGCCGTGTCTTGTTTACCAGAGATCTCAGTTAAACACGCCGTATGTGAACACAACTCTTGTCACCTACAGTATTCTTTCGCAGATCTAAGTGATATGACGACTTTATTAATGTCACGAATGGAACGTTTTTAATAACAAATAGGTAGGTACCAAAATCAAAATAGCGCTGCTAAAAAATGTGCTAGTGAGTTTGCTGATGTAAAGGTAAAAAATAACGACGTACTTATTTTTCAAATCAAAGTTCAAAGTAATTGTTTTTCACAGAGTGTTTATGTGTACATTACATCTTAATTTGTGTATAGTGGAAGAGATTTTATTTGAAGGTAGAAATGACCGTTCATATAGGAAAAAGGTAAGATTATTTACAGTTTTCGTATATCTTTAAAATAGTAAGTAAAGTCGGTTTGCTTCAGTTACTGTTATTTACTTTATACGAGATATTTTTTCTTTTCATAAATAGCTTTGATTATTTAAATCACATTGCCGCCAGTACAGTCATGATGATGAAAACAAAATTGATTTCGTTCAGCAGAGCTGTCTATTAATTATTAACTTCATATTCAGTGAACGGCATTTTTGTTCAGCATGTTTTTAATTTAAAAAGAAAACGATAATAATAATTGAAACATGTACCCATTTACCATTTACTTTATCGTTGTCGATTAGTAAGCGTCCAAGAACTAACAAGAGCTAAAACAGCACCGATAAGGTACACGACAATCAAGCTTGTAAATCGTAGGAAAAATATTAGTACATCACCAAATGACTAGTCTGACGGTCTGCATAGGGCCGATATTATAATGGTGGCCGGTTTTCCACGATGAAAAAATGGATCTCAAAAACCGATAAAGCAGACGGGCAAAAATTTCTTCCAGACATTGTTAAGACCCAGACGATTGGCAGATCGGAAAACCCTTGGCAAACGGGATTCAAGTTCCAGAAAAAAACCCTGGAAAAACCGATAAGGTACACGCGCAAAACTTTGTCCCGGCATTATTTAAAATTGAACAATTTTAAACAGAAATTTGTATTATAAAAAGACATTTTCTTTCCTTTTCGTATTAGTATGTCGGGGGTCTATTTGAGAGTATGCAAAAAACTTAGTGAATATGTAACGTTGCAAATCCTGTGGAGTTTCTATGAAGATATAATGCTAATTGGCGTGCTGTGATTATGTAGAATATTTAAAATTGTACTCTCTGTCCAATTTGACGTAAAATATTCATAGCGCACGTCGTAAGATCACTGGTTACTGATAATAAGGTAAGACTTCGCTTTAATTACCAGTGACGTCGATTTTAGAAATAATACCTGCAATTGCGCGTATGTTTGAATATAGACCATATGTTTCAAAACTTCTCTTTATTCAAAAATTGTGAAATAAAGGCAAATTGAATAATCAAATAATTTCCGTATCCGTTTAGGATTTAGGATAATTTATTTATTTATGCATTTTTAGCTACACAGTATTTTTGAAGAAATATACGTATTGTGTCTGCCCAAAGATTTTGTTTATTCTTGGTTGACAGTCTTTTCTAGAAAAAGGATGCAAAAAATAAAACTTAAATTCATGCAGTCATTAGTGCAATTTTTTATTCCTTGCATTTTACACATTTTATGTGACTATACTAACAATAAGTGAAGTGAATCGATCTAATAAATACTAACATGCCACAATTAAACATCAACGTGTCTAATCTTGCCCAATTCCCATAGTCCGTATGAACATAGCATAAGACACCATTGTTTTGATGGTCTGAAAAAATCCAAGTCATATTAAAATTATCTATAGTATTAATCTAAAATTCAGTTTTATTTTTGATATACTTTTTTATTTCTTTAATTAGTATCTATTATCTTGCATTCAGAAGTGTACGATTTCTAAAGGACCCCGCACAAATCTTATGGAAATTGGGTCCCGGTCAAATTCGCTGAATTTTTGATATGTGATAGAGTTCATCATACTGGTCAATTGTCTCAATGGCCACAAAGCTCAAAAATGGATAGTTTGGCCGGTACAGAGCTTTAAAGCTCCGAATATCCTCCACGGATTTATGTATATGCGCAGTGTGTATAGACTTTTGAAATAGCCTATTTCATTTTTTTTATTATCTAGGTTTATATTTTTGAGGTTGCTGAATTCAGATCTGTTGTTAGATTTTCAAAATTGACAGTTGGCAGCTGTCAAATAGCTGTCAATGTGCTATAATAAAGCCAAAAACTTGTTTTTTTATGTTTTATCTTTCTTTTTTTTTTAGTTCGATAAGTTCAAAGACGATATCAAATCAATAACAATGACTATCGGCAGCTGTCATTTAGCTGTCAACAATTCTTCAAAGTCCGGTAATAAAGTCAAAAAATTATTTTTTGTTTATAACTTCAAGTTTTTTAGATAAGTGAATATAAATATGATATAAAATTATGTAGTCATCAGCTTACAGCTGTCAACAAGCTGTCAACTAACTGTCAAAATGCAATAATAGAGCAAGTAACTTATTTTTTGTGCTTAACTTTGTGGATAAGAAATCAAACATGATATAAGTTTATGACATCACTTTTGAACTCAGTGATCTAAGCAACTTAAAGCTTTTTAAAAAAAGTAACTTTTTGACTTTATTATTGCATTTTGACAGTTAGTTGACAGCTTGTTGACAGCTGTAAGCTGATGACTACATAATTTTATATCATATTTATATTCACTTATCTAAAAAACTTGAAGTTATAAACAAAAAATAATTTTTTGACTTTATTACCGGACTTTGAAGAATTGTTGACAGCTAAATGACAGCTGCCGATAGTCATTGTTATTGATTTGATATCGTCTTTGAACTTATCGAACTAAAAAAAAAGAAAGATAAAACATAAAAAAACAAGTTTTTGGCTTTATTATAGCACATTGACAGCTATTTGACAGCTGCCAACTGTCAATTTTGAAAATCTAACAACAGATCTGAATTCAGCAACCTCAAAAATATAAACCTAGATAATAAAAAAAATGAAATAGGCTATTTCAAAAGTCTATACACACTGCGCATATACATAAATCCGTGGAGGATATTCGGAGCTTTAAAGCTCTGTACCGGCCAAACTATCCATTTTTGAGCTTTGTGGCCATTGAGACAATTGACCAGTATGATGAACTCTATCACATATCAAAAATTCAGCGAATTTGACCGGGACCCAATTTCCATAAGATTTGTGCGGGGTCCTTTATATTAGAATTTTTATTGAATTAAGATGAAATTAATACGATTCTAAATATGTATGTATGGACTTCTACGGGTGTCTTTGGGAGATACAGGTGTAATTATTAATTATCCAAAATAAAAAGATGTAGTAGCTGTTTTTTACGTATTAGCAGTATATGTCAAAGTTACATTAAAACATCAGGACTACAAGGTATTTCTTTGAACTACTACATTATATAAAAAAAATTCAAATATACTTTGTGTTCCACATAAAAGTCCTCAGCCTCGTATCTCGCCAACGGAAAGATATTTTAATTTTGAAAAAAATAGATTTTAGAGTTCATCAAAGGCTTTGTCATGGAGTGCAACTTGATTTTTTTCAGATCAAATTGGAGTCGAAAGAAATTTTTCGTTTGTAACAAGATATATTCGATATTTTGTTCAATCCTAAACAAATTTTGTCAAATGGCTACTTTTCAAAAACTTAATAGTTTCAAAGATATCGGGTTCTTCAGTCGATGAGGCCCAAACTCAAGCGTAGGTATTTTAGAGTTTCGAATTATTACCTTGCACAATGGAAAAATAATTATCCAGGTCAATTTAACAGTTTTTTTAATCAATAGTGAAATAAAATATGCAAATTAAAAAACTTTAAACTACAACAAGTGTTCAAAAACATTCCCATTTTCGCTAATACGTATTTCAAAGCGACGCCTAAGTTTCTGATCGCAAGAAGAAAATAAAGAGCGACGCAAAGCTAGCATAAATCTTATTTATTAAGTCCGTCATATCTTCTATTGGCTCAGTATACACCATATCTTTAAATGTCCCTCCATAGAAAAAAAATCAGGAGGCGTTAGATCTGGCGCCCTTGCTAGCCATCTAATTGGCCCATTTGTACATTTCTGTTATGTTCATTATTAACACGCAGGCCAAAGTTACGAAAGTTTTGATGAGTTCCAATGATGACACGTGCATCTAGAATTCTTCTATTTGGATAACGTCTTCGATATTCACGAACTGCCGCACAGTGTGCTCATTTGGACAAAATTCTGCCGACAGTACAAGACTAAACCGATTTTCATGAAAACATTTTTGCATGTTTGTTATACCTTGAAAAATGACCTATGGGTGCGATAAATTTAAGTTGTGACCTTTTGACCTTGATAAAATTCGAATTCGTGGGACACCCAGCCTGTTGTGCATGCATAAAATGCGTTTTTAAAATAACCACAGACATTTTGGACCATACAATGTTCACGAAAAATTATTACTTATTATTACCTGCGTATTCTTCGTTACTAAAAAGCATTTTTCAGGATAACATTAATAATAACCATAGGTAAGTATAACAATAATTACAAATCAAATTATTAGAGAGTTAACTAAAGCTTTTTTCTTCCAAATTGAACGAAGAATCCAAAATTGATTTTTATTTTATGTAAAATCAGTGGCGTAGCAATTATTTCTTTAGAAATATCCAGTAACGTGCTAGTACGGACGCCACTGGCAAAATGGCAAAATTAAAAATAACGTTTTTCATTGCAAAACGTGCTGTCTCGATGGTAGTTAACGTCTACAAAATTGCACTGAAATATCTTTAGCCGTTTGACAACAATTAATAAATTTGATTTTTTTAAACCAATCTTGAACACCTTGTATTTCATTAACGAAGCATTTTTCGAATATAGTTTATATATCAAACTCATATTATTTTTTAAATTTCTATGGGTCCCTGAAGTTTCCGCATCGGAAACTGGATCACCCTGTATAAATGTCTGGTATCGAAAAACATTTGAATTTGTTTGAATTCATTTACGGATAATTTATTTATGGCTATCCATTTGAGTTAACATATCCATAGAACATCATGTGCTGTATGTTTTTGAAATATCTATTTTTTTTAAATTATATGTTTTTATAAAACAAAACCTTACCCAAATATACTCTCATAACTTTTTCGTTTCATCAAAAACTATAAACTTTAATAAAAGCAGGAAGCATTAAGTAATAAATGACAATAAATTGTGATACTTGCTTTCAGACAGTTATCCAAATCAATATTGACAATACCACCAGCTAAAATATGTGTTTTCCTCTGACTTCTTCCGAGTATCATCAACTGAGCTGCTTTTGCTGAAGATGGATTATCGTACCATTTATTGAAATAAGCGTATTCCGTTGTACGATCCGCCTTAAAAAAATTGTTTTAATTCCTTCACATTTCATCACAGAAATATTGAAAAATGAAAACACAACATTATTATTCACTCCTCTGACTAGTCCTAAATGTGCTCATACCTCATCAGTTACAGCTTGTGCAGGTAAGCAATAACAGAAAGTAAATTGAGTTAGTCCAGTGATCAGACGTGCTATAGGTTCAATTAATCCTATTAGAGTGGGCCTATAAAAGATTAAAGATCACAATGTTTTTTATTGTAGTATATAAATAACTTACTCTGTCGATACATCGTACATTTGGACGGACATGCCCACAACGAGGACAATGACGTATACAAGCAACCCTTCAGAAAATCCCTTATTTATTCTGTCTACAAAACTGAAATATATATATAAGTAGTCAGAATTAAAACAGAAAAGTCTATGTTTCATTAAGATGAAGTGAAAATTTTAAATTAAAGAAATTCCTGCTATCTCTATTGGTGAGACTGAAATGTTTATAAATTAGTTACAAAAATTAAAAAAAAATATTTGTGCTGCTCAAGAGCTTTCTAGGATGATTTGTCACAGTTATTGTCGTTCAAAGCAAAAATAATTTTTTTGGCTTTGATCATTGATTACTCGGGAACTAATAATCGGTGTACAGAAAATCTAAGCAGGGTTTTGAAAACTTCAAAGTATCCTCTTTAAGACGTTTTTGTCGTTTTCTGATAAAAATATTTTTTTTATGCAAGAAACACCATTCAAGAACAGTTAAAAATTTCAAGTAACTACAAATAATGAACAGACTAAGGATATTTTGTTTTTTTTTTCAGTCTCAAAGCATCCCAAAGAAACTCAAGAAAACAAATTGCTGCGATATTTCTTTCATTGCCGAATGATTGAAATTATCGCTTTTGGTAAAAATCAACTAAATAATAAATTCCACTTTTTTATTCATTTTTTTAAATTGTTTTTGTTGCCACAGAATTTTTTTCATCACAAAATGTTACATATCGAAAAACAGAAAAAAAATTAAAAAAATACATTTTTTTACAATATTCACAATGCTACACAATCGTAAAAAAGTTGTCCTTTATTTTTTATCGCGGTTTCCACCTTGTTTTCAAATCTTAATTGAAAAACAATTTGCAATAAGTCGTACACTCCAGTCAGTTACTATTTTCTTCTGCAAATCCCGAAAAGGTCTTTATTTTAAAAAATTGACCATTGATCGTATTATTCTTTTATATTTAACTTATATAGCTACAATCGAGGTTACTATGCATTTCAAGAAATCTAAGATAACTTTTGAATTAAGTATTCCGATAAACTTTTCCTCTTCGAAAATTTTCGGCGTCGCCGCGTTTTCGTACGAGCGATTCCGGGGATTGTTTTGGCGCTATGCTACAATGCGATACATGCAATTTTCTTCTTTTTATCGAAATGATCAGTTTTTATGACAAAATTTATCCGACAAAAATCATGCTGTGTTCCCATCAGAGATATATGTAGAGTAGGGAGAAGGCTCATTAACTTCTGCGCATCCTATTTTCGAGGGACACAGTGCCGCCATTTTGAACATGAATTTGTTTTGTTTGAGGAGTGAGCAAGGTTATGTTTCGTGAATTATTTATTAGTTATTATTATTTATATACGTATAATTTACGCCTGGAGCAGTAAATTGGTGCTGTGGACGTTTTTTTAATATTCAATACATAGTTTCTACACTAAGGAAAACATTTATCCTTTATTGTTTTTGTTATGTCGTGTGCTGTGAAGGGGTGATTTTTAACATAAGACGTTTTAAACCAAAAGGAATTACATTTCATCGGTAATAGCTGTTTTACATTGACAATTTATTGATGAATAAATTGACGAAGTTCTTCATGAATTAATTCAAGAATTTATTGGTGAACACTGCTACAGACTTTATCAAGTTTTTTGACACATGAATCAGTTCTACCAACGAATCAAAGAAGCAAATAAATTTCAAAAATGTCACCTTTCCACTCATAATTGTAGTTATACAACAGCGGTACCGTTTTGACACATATAAATATTAGTGTTTGTAAGTAACAAATCAGTAAAAACAATGCAAAACTAGTACTACGCCACACAATTATTTACATATTCCAATAACATAACCTCATTACTGATATGAGGGTGGAAATCTGTTGGGTTGGTTCTTCCGAACTTCACGAAGAAATTAACGAAAATTAGAACATGCTCTAATTCGTCAAGAACTTGATGAATAAATTCATGAAGTTATTTGACAGCAGATTTGGTGCATTACACTTGTCCAATTTCTTGGTGAAGCGACTTCATGAATTAATTGTCAATGTAAAACAGCTATTAGAGTGGTTTTATGAATTTATTTCTTGCAACAACTGTTTAAATAATCTTGCAGCTTTCCGAGGGGTGATATGTTTATTAAAAGGGTAGAAAGTCTGAGACTTGATCACGTATTTAAATGGTCAGAGAAATAAAAAAAGATTTTCTGAATGCTGGAAATCAAATTCGCCTAAAGCCTGATGCGGTTCCAAATTTAGAAATCTATTTAACTAATAAAGCCGACGCTCCATCCACAAGTTCAGTTGAAACATTACATACCATAAAAAAATGCTCCATTTACTTCATCGATGTCATTAGATGATACGGCAGAGCGTTCTAATAAGAACCATTGGTAATTTTATTTTTTGTTAATAAGGTAGGTACTAATTTTTTTAAACAAATATTATTTTCCCTGGCAGTCTATATTATTAGTTTAGTGAATTGATCTAGTCAAGATAGATGTAATAATGACCGAGTTATCAGTCTCTAAAGGCGATTGTTTATTTTTCGGAAAGTAAAATCTAACATTTTACCCTAAAATAATGACGAAAGAACTAATTTTTCGAAGAAAATGAATATAACCTTTTTTAAAGTGCTTAGAGATCTTTAAAACGCTTTTTGAAAAAATTTCGTAGCTCAAAAACTCGGGGAGTTATGATGAATATAAAGTGGTCATCTCATTTTTTCGGAGAAAAAATCAAAAATAAAATCTATAATAAAATATATCCTAAGCGTAATCCATGTACAGTTGACTTTATTTAGGTACTAATAATAGTCTCTGCAAGTTTGACCAGTTTAGAATGCCTAAATTTAAAAAAAGTTTGAAATAATGAAAAATTTTTTTTTTATTTTTAAAAAAAATTTCCTATTTTTCGAGATAACTCAAAAACCAAACAAGATACGTAAAAAATGCAAGTGTTCAAAATTAAAGGTCTTTTTTTATAGGATTTTTGCTCTCTCAATTTTTCGTTTTTTAGTTTGCATTTGCGTGTAAGGACCACCTTCTTTGAGCCCTTAAAACCTAAAAATCTCGAAAACGAAGAGTTCAAAACCCTTCAACTATACAAGTTGATTTGTAGCTCTTGCAATTCCTTGCAAATTGCTTTTTGGAGCGATGAAAAATATTAAAAATTAAAAAAGTTATCGTGAAAAAACGAATTGTATTATTCAGTGAAAATTGTCGGATCGTATAAATGCAATTTCCGATAGTTTCCGAGGCGTAATACACAATGATGATAGTAAATTTTTGATAATAAAGTATAATTGTATAATACACAAATAATTTTTATTTTCCCTTTCACTAATAACATAATTTAAGTTTCGGGTTTTAAGTAATCTCACTGAAAATTCTTCAATTCCTTATTATGGGTGGTTTTTAAGGGTTGAAACGTTGCAATAAATCATGTATTATTTCATAAACAGTAAAAAATATTCAATTCTTCATTATTGCTCCGTCAAAACATTTCAGAGCCGCGAAAACTAATTTTTGTTTTTTTCCTCATAAAGGGTGAATTTAATGCTGCTACAAATAAAAAAATATTACTCAATGCATAAAAGAATGCTAATTCTATTGACATAACACTTAAATCTATGGTTTTTACATTTTTTGCAAGAAGGGGTAGTTCTCACCCCCTAAAAACAAATAAACACACATTATGGATATGTATGTAACTTTTGTAAAGGAGGGTGAAATGAACTTACTCACCAATTTTCATGAAAATTGGTGCGTGTATCAAGAATTCGGAAGTAATACCCTATTTTTACCGTTGTATACTGGACTATTTGTCTTATTATAGTTGTCAATTTGTTAGGTATCTATTCTTGATGAAGTAGTAACGACTTTCTAAAACATCAGCCCAAGATTCTTGAAATTTGTTAATTAGCCCTGTTTATTCTTTGATATCATGTATCAGTAAGTAATCAAAAAGTAGTTAATATTTAAGTAATAATAATCATCTATAGTAGGATCCTATTCGATGCAAAGTAGAGCAAAAAGTTGTCGGTCTTTTATCAAAGAAAAATCGTGTCATCATTTTTAGGAGGCGGAAGATGAACTATTCAAATTTAAAATGAAATTAAATGTAAAATCTGAAATACCGCTGCATACGCACTGTGTTCTGGTACTAGCTGTAGTCGGCCAGGTGCATCGAGTGTACGAAGTGGTCGGTTATACGTCAAATACTAACCTGGCGAGCTTGATCGTCAATTAGAGCGCCTCCAAAAAACAAGTAAACAACAGTGGCGCGTACAGAGGTAAAATGTAGTACATATGTGGAATTTAAAAAACAAATTGGATTTATAATAAATTACATTTAAAATAAATAGTTTATGAGAATAAAGGAATTTTTGTAGGAACAAGAGTGCCAGACGTGAACTGATCCCTTCGTCCCTTCATAATGTATAAAGAAATTATTCAATTTCTAAAACCCTTAAAAGCGTACTGCATTGGTTTCCTTGTCAGGCAATGATTTATTACTTTGCATCGAATATTATCCTACTATAAGTAGTTTTTGAAAATCGAAGGTGAAAATTAATAAAACAAAATAATTCTTATTAGTCAGTCATGCAGAACCTACTATTATAGAAGATTTTGAAATTTGGCTTTTATTTAGCGAGTTACTGGAAATTATTATTGTTTTTTTTTCACCCCACTGTATGAAGACATAGGTGCTATTATGAAACACCCTGTATACTAGTGAATTGAATTCACTATTAAAGAACTGACAAAATTACTTACTCCAAAAGGAAGTCGTGGTACTCGACAAGTTTTTTAATTTTCTTATCGAAATGTTTCGATTTTCCATCCGAACTTGCCATCTCGTTGAACAGCCTTTCCATTTCTTGATTTAGTAATTTAAACTGCATCTTGGTCAGCAGCAGCAACGTCAGTACGAATATATCCAATCCAGTAAGAGGAAGATAAATGCCAACTACAAACGCTATACTCTCATAAACTTGTAGGAGATGAAATGGAATCCGTTCTGGTCTGTACGTGTTAAAAGACAATTCGCCGGACAGAGGTTTACACGAGAAAGTTAGGGTAGTACAGATACACAAAAAGTTGTACAAGAAGGACATAGTTTTTATGAACTTTAGGTACTTCTCATGCTCTTTTCTCTCAGCTTCGTCTTGGACGTCTTCGATTTTCCAAAATTTATCAATTCTATCGAGCAAATCGCGGATATTGTTTCTTTTGACAAAAACCAGTGTACATTTTGTAAGTCCCTTAAAATCATTAAACTTGTGTAATTTAAAACTCCCCCACCGATATTTCAGAAACGATTCGAAGCAGGTAAAATTATACTATGTACATTTGTGCTGTTTTTGACCCAACAAATGTTATCATTGAAATTGGCACAATTGGCACTACTGTTTGTGTCACTTCTTTACATGATACAATGTATATTGGTCAATATGCATATACAGGGTAGCCCATCGAAAACGTACCGCAAGGCATTACAGGGTAGTAAAGAACTTTTCGGCAAAATCCAAAAACAGGTAAAGTTTGCTTCTGAGGGGGCCAACTTTTGGCGCAAAAAGCATAACAAAATCTTCGACCCCCTAAGTGGGGGTGCCATCCCTCAAATTTTTTTAAATGGGAATGGGGGTCAAGTGGGGGGTCATTAGAAAGGACTTTTAATTCTCTATACATCGATTTGTACTTTTTGAAAATCGATCTATTATTTTAGAAAATATGCAGCTTTGAAAATACGAACAATATTTTTGACGAGAAATGCGAAAATCGATTTAATTTTACTTCAAAACTTACGGTATTAGCTTGGTAAATTCCTTCAAAAGAATTCGCTGTTTTTTTTTTTGATTTGCGAATTCTTTAGCCTGATTTTGGTGAGCAAAAAATTGTCCGCTTTTTGTTTCGTATTTAGATAGGCCACAAGAAGTTGCTAGATAACTGTCTTGTGACTTGTAGTTGAAGAGTACCAATACTGCCGAGTCTTTTAAATTGATTAATTATGGTGTACTCAATTCCAGAAAGAGTAGAAATTATTGAGCTTTTTTTCAAAAACAATGAATGCGGAAATCGGGTCGCCGAACTGTTCAACCAACGGCATCCTGAGAAACATGCGTCTGGAAAAATTGTTCGCGAATTGGTGGCCAAATTTCGCGAAACTGGCTCCGTTCATAACAAAAAGAGGCAGGTTGAAAATCCGGTACTAAATGAACCTACGGAAATAGCGGTATTGGGGCAAGTGGCAATGGATAGTACGCTGAGTACAATGCAATTGGCTACTGCGACAGGAGTGAGTCGTACAAGTGTCCAACGAATATTAAAAAAATACAAATTCCATCCTTATAAGATTCGGCTAGTGCAAGAGCTAAATGAAGACGATTTTGATCGTCGTTTGCAATTTTGCGAAATAATGACTGAACGAGCGATAAACGATAATTTCCTCTTTAATGTGTGTTTTTCGGACGAGTGTACGTTCTTCTTGAATGGTTTAGTGAATCGCCATAATTGTCGTTACTGGGCTGATACCAATCCAAGGATTTTCCATGAGACACACTCCCAACACCCCCAGAAGTTGAATGTATGGGCAGGTATTTTTGGAAATTCCATTGTAGGTCCTTTTTTCCTTCCTGGAAATTTGACAGGCGATATGTACTTGGATTTACTACAAAATGTCATCGACCCAGCTCTAACAAATATCATAGAGGACGACCCTGCTTACAATGAACACGAACTGATTTTCCAGCAAGACGGAGCTCCTCCACATTACTCGCTCAATGTGCGCAATTACCTAAATGAGACGTTTCCAGGACGCTGGATAGGACGAAGAGGTGCAATTGAGTGGCCCCCTCGGTCACCCGACTTAAATCCTTTAGATTTCTTTCTCTGGGGGCACATTAAAAGCAAAGTTTACAGCACTCCACCTGATACCTTGGAAGATCTGCGAGGACGAATCATTAATGTATGTCGCGAAGTAACACCGCAAGTGCTCCAGAATGTTCGACAACGGTTTGAAGACAACCTGTATCATTGTATGCAAGTTGGCGGACAACATTTTCAGCATTTACTTGACTAATACCGTAAGTTTTGAAGTAAAATTAAATCGATTTTCGCATTTCTCGTCAAAAATATTGTTCGTATTTTCAAAGTTGCATATTTTCTAAAATAATGGATCGATTTTCAAAAAATACAAATCGATGTATAGAGAATTAAAAGCCCTTTCTAATGAGCCCCCCCCCTTGCCCCCATTCCCATTTAAACAAATTTGGGGGATGGCACCCCCACTTAGGGGGTTGAAGATTTTGTTATGCTTTTTGCGCCAAAAGTTGTCCCCCTCAGAAGCAAACTTTACCTGTTTTTGGATTTTGCCGAAAGGTTCATTACTACCCTGTAATGCCTTGCGGTACGTTTTCGATGGGCTACCCTGTATATTGATCTAATTGAAGGCTACCAGCTTCTATTATAAAGATCAGTCATGATAAAATTGAACAAGAATAATAAATTTCAGTACCTACTATTACCCTTAAAAAACTGACCTCCATATAAAGTTACACCTTGTATATTAAATAACACTTAAATTACCGTAACACAACGTGACAATAAGTGAAACCACTTGTTTTCAATATCTTGACTGACACATTTTTTACATTGCAGGTACCGATCAATTTTTGTCTCAGTGTATTTTGTTAAAAATTGGTAACTTAAAACAATACTTAAATTATTTTACTTTGGTTTCGTGGAAGTTATGAAAGAAAATGTAGTGTAGAAATATACAGTAAAATTTGCGATACTAATTGGTAATCAATAAAATTTGTATACATACGTGGCTTATTAACATGAATGAGTCCAATACATACGTTACATCTGTTATAGTAACACTCTCTTTGTAAACCAGGAGCAGCATGCCAAGGTAAATTATACTCATTTGTAAACTGAGGGTAGTAACATACATAAGTACTTGGGGTATAGTGTATCCTTTCATTGGATTGACACCCATCCTGTTGAACAGTATAATGCAAATATTAAAGAGTGTAAAATACATCTCCAAAATAAGTGAAGGAAAATTATTCACTGTTAACGTCGATGTAAATTTATATTCTAATCATAAATCAATCAAACCATTACTTTTATCGGCTTCAGATATTAAAAAATTAAAAAGTTTATCGATGAAGCTTATTCAAGGAGTATTCTCGGGGCTAGCAATTAATAATTGCTCATAATTAACTGCCAATAAAGCGTATTCAAGAAGTAGTGTCGAGACTAGCAATTAATAATAATTGTTCATGATTAATTGTGAACAGAGTAATTAAATAAGTATGGCTCTCTCCATTTTTTATTAGAATTTAAAAAATATTTAAAAATATTCAATATACTTTATTTTTTTCTAGAGTAATTACAGTCATTATTGCAATTTTTTATTCATTACATCTTGTGCATATTACGTGAGCATAATATTAAGAAAACTTAATTAATATGAAATAAATACTAATATAATTAAACATCAACCTGTCTAATCCTGTCCAATTACCATAGTTCTTGTAAGTCTGTAACTTCGTAGTTTTTCAACGAATCTTGACGATTTTTTTTAACTTAAAGCTCTTTTCATAAACTTTCCGAATATGTAATAATTTATAACTATATCACGTCGTATATTTCATTTTGCAACTAAGGCTAAAAATATAAAAAAAATCAGGTTGCAAATTTGAAATTTAAAAAAAAATGATAAGATTTCAGTGTATTATTATGAAATTTACCTTTAAAAAATCAGTACGATTGTGGAAGATCCTCGGGATCGTCCAGACTAAAAATTAGTTAATTTGTTTATAAGGCCATAACTTCTACACTATTCAACTTACCGATTCCAGATTTCGTGTGGGTTATTAGACAGTGATAAGGAATGAGAGGATGCGATATCAAAACGTTCTGATAATAATAACGCAGTTTATATATGTTTAATTCAAAAGTCATAAATAAGCTTCTTCTGTTTATAACTTTTGATCTAATCAATATTTTCGGACGCTCGAGGGCTAGTTATGTAGGTATTTTGAAGACGAAAAAAAAGTATGATAATGCTTTCTCGTGGAAATGAACGGAAAAGAGTTATAAATGAAAAACGTGAATTTACGTAAAAAGTATACAATTAACCACCCTGTAAACAATCTTTTCCCCATTTTTATGACTGTGGAAACTAATATGTTATTGTACATAATATTTAGCATCTATAGTGATAAATTCAGCTAGCCGAAACAAAAAGTCGCGAAATGGTCATTTCCCAGCTTATTTTCCTGCCTATTTAGATACGTTTCCAAATCAAATTTAATGAATCCACCAGCTAAAATAAGTGTCTGATATTGAGCTCTTGCTAACAATTTTACTGAAGATACAGGGTGTTTGTACCAGTTATTGAAGTATACGTATTTTGCTGTAAGCTCAGCCTACAAATATATATTTTTATACAGGGTGTATAATAATTTTTTTTAAATAGAATTTTTACGAAAATTACCAAACGGTGCTAAATATTTTTATGAAATCTGGTGTTCCGGGGTTTTTAAGGATGTCAAATACACTGGTCTAATTATTTTTTATATATTTCACAGAGGGCGCTAGTTATGCTACATTCTTATTACATTTTAAGTTCTAATTTTTTTAAGGTTAGGTTTTTTATCATTCGGGTCCAATTTCTAATATACACTTTTATTTTCTAAAAATAATGTACTCTTGTTAGAACTTCCTAATATGGACGGGTTTCGAGAAAAAAAGGCTTTTAATTAAACTCTTACAATATTACGGTGTATAAAATAAGTGACTTTTCTCAAAGTAGGCTTATATCAAAACTTATTGATGGATGTCTCATAAACAACGCATATATTCTTAGTAATATTTTAAATCTAATTAACTTTATATCAAAATTTTAGTGACTGTAATTAGTTATAACTAACTATAGTCACTAACAATCACTAAAATTTTAATATAAGGTTAATTATTACTATTAGTTTTGACATAAGCCTACTTTGAGAAAATTTTATACACCGTAATATTATTAGAGTTTAATTAAAAAGTCCACATTAGGAAATTCTAACAAGAGTACATTATTCGTAGTAAATAAAATTGTACATTAGAAATTGTAGCCCGAATGGTAAAATACCTAACCCTAAAAAATTTAAATCTTAAAATGTAATGTAGCATAACTAGCGCCCCCTATGAAATATACAAAAAATAATTAGATTAATTTGGCATCCTTAAAAACCCCAGAATACCAAATTTAATAAAAAATATTTCGCACCGTTTGGAAATTTCTATTAAAAAAAATTTTATTTTGTCACTGTATCTCGAAAACAAGAGGAGATAGACAAAGAATTTTTTGTCGTACTATCACCTCCTGTATTTACGGGAGCTCTTTCTGAAACACCCTGTATAATCCTCGCTATAGTCTCATCATGCTTAAAGATAACAACATACTTTATTTAGAAAACTATTGAACAAGTTCTGTATTTGTATGTTGCTAATGTGAGTTTGCTCTTCTGATATTAGAATTATAGAGTCATACAGGGTGTAACTTTGAATGCGGGTCATATTTATACGAAAGCACCTTTGACTTATGGAAACATCATAAGTTTGTTTTCTCAAATTTCGACGCGAAAGCTGATTTTCGTGACTCTTTGTCGTAATTTTCATGCTCCCTTCTCTAAGCTCGGCGGTCGCCTGACTTGTAAACATTGATGAACGCTCTGTACCGTTTCCTCATAACAATTAAATTAAATATTTTGAGACAATGTTTATTTTATTTTTGAGATACTCGTATATAATCAAAACATTTAAGTAGTTCATTAACCATATTAGAAAATGTTGATTACGATTTATGTAATAAAACGCGATTTAATATTTTCTGTGTATATTTAGGTGTTTTTGGATTATAACTCAAATACAAATAGCAAATCGTGTGCATCTATAATAGAACATAAACTTCTGTTTGCTTTTGTTTTTAAAAATTGTGAGTTGTGCATTATCTACTGTTTTCTAATTTATACCCATAGTCCTCAAGAACATACAGTACGATAATATAGTCTGGGTAGTCTGAAAAAAAAGAAAGAAATTGATTTAGTAATATTATTCAATCGTTTTACTATTTGGTGAATATACGTGCATTTTGTTATTCGAAAAAATATAAGTACTTTTTTTATTGCATTCATCTTTTAATTCCAATTTGCTGAAAGATATTCTGAATAAGTTTTACGTTATTAGAATATGGTTGGTGCAAGCATCAAAGATTTTAAAACAAGTTTTTTTGAACTGCAACTTATAGCATTTCACTTACTTTTAAACATGTCTCCAAATTTACTTTTATAAAACTTAAAGCGATAATAGTAACAGGTCGTTGGCCGACAGCTATCATCAGTGTTGTCGCATTTCTTATGTACTTTTCCGGATGTTCATACCAATTTCCAAAATAAACGCTTTTACTTATTTTACTTGCCTTGAAAAAAATAATATATTTTGATAACAGTAAGGCAAATAATTAATATTTTTATACAGACTGCTATTTAGTTGTCGTTGTATTTGAAAGTGGTTGTTTTTTCATTTTTTTTATTTTCAAAAACTTTATAACTGGTGTAAGCACCTACCTCGTCGGTAATAGCCTGTGCTGCTATACAATAACACACAGTATATTGGAACATTCCTGTAAAAACGTATACTGCTGCTTTCGCAGCGGTTTGAAATGAATTCCTGAAAGAATAAAGCTAGAAGCTAGAGATTCGTAAATAACAAGTGGTACATAAATAATACGTTCAATAGGAAATGTAAATCTTGTGTTTTTACTTGAGTAATATTAGAAAACGAAATGTTTACTTACTGTGTTGATACAATGTACATTTCAACGCATAGAGAGAGTACAATATCCCCATTGTAAATGAATAGTACTTGAGAAAATGTATCGTTTAACATTTTTACGAAGCTGAAAATTGAACACATTGAAAAATATTGTCTTAGAAAACAGACAAAATGTTGGCTGGTATTGTTGTAAGTAATTTAAATAGAATAGAGAATTTTTTGCAGATTTATAAAATTTTTGTTCCTTAAATAAATCTATAAAATTACTGTCAAAACAAAAAAAGTATTTTGTATTTGCCTGCTTTTTTTCAGTGAGATTTTTAGTAGGCAGAACGAATTTCATAAAAGATAACTTAGGACAGGAAAATAAGCTGGGAAATGATCATTTCGCGAATTTTGTTTCGGCAACCTGAATTTATCACTATAGATGCTAAATATTATGTACAATAACATATTAGTTCCACAATCGCACTGATTTTTTTCATAGTAGATTTCATAATAATACATTGAAATCTATCATCCTCGGGATCGTCCAGACTAATAATTAGTTAATTTGTTTATAAGGCTATAACTTGTAAACTATTCAACTTACCGATTCCAGATTTCGTGTGGGTTATTAGACAGTGATAAGGAATGAGAGGATGCGATACCAAAACCTTCTGATAATAATAAAGCAGTTTATAAATGTTTAATTCAAAAGTCATAAATAAACTTCTTCTGTTTATAACTTTTGATCTAATCAATATTTTCGGACGCTAGTTTTGTAGGTCTTTTGAAGACGAAAAAAAAGTACATTACTGTTTTCTCGTGGAAATGAACGGAAAAAAGTTATGAGCGAAAAACATGAATTTACGTAAAAATTATACAATTAACCACCCTGTAAACAATCTTCCCCCCATTTTTATGACTGCGGAAACTAATATGTTATTGGACATAATATTTAGCATCTATAGTGATAAATTCAGCTTGTCGAAACAAAAAGTCGCGCCCAATTCTATATTTCCTGACCTAAACTGTCGACTGATCCATCCAGAGCAAGGATTTATTTAATAAATTTTTAAAAAATGTTTCAAATAAGGAAAAAAACGAAAACTGTTCCTCAAATAAGTATCTTCAGATAATATAAGAACACTATGTGCATCAAATTTTTTATCCTTCACATATGTATTTATTTATTTTTAAACAGTTGAATAAGGACAAAATTCATTGTTTTTTTCACTTCAACAGCTGCTTCATGTTTTATTAATTCAACGATTTAGATCTGTGCTGTAGAGATTATTATTATGGATTATCCATATATTTGAAGCTTATTGACGATTTCGCAACTTACTTTTTCAAAAAAATATGGTGATCTACACATTTCTTTATTCTCGCCTTAATAACTTCATCATCTATTCCACATTCTCCCGTTTTTCCAAAAATGTTCCTCGCCTCTTCATTTAGCAACTTAAACTGTAAACTAGTCAGCATAAAAATTGTGAAAATGAACAAATCCGTGCTGATCACGGGAAAAGAAATAGTCAAAACGCAAGTGAAACTTTGATAAAATACAGACAAATAAAGCGGAAACCAATTTGGAAGGTATATCTCGAAAACGGTTTGTCCTACGAACCCCTTGATGATGAACAGCACTGCAAGAAATGCACAGAGCGATGTAAAGAACTTTAATACATTTTTTAAAGAGTTTAAAAATTTCTGGTGGGAGGTTCTGGCGTCAGTATCGGTTACGTCTTCAATTTTCCAGAAGTGCGCTTCCATTGTTCTGAGCAGATTTGATATCTTCGATCTCTTGATGAAGAGGTTAGTTAACTTTAGAAAACCCTAAAATATCCAGTTAATTTTTTCACATATTTGTACGTATATTTATTGAACAGTGACAATTTTTGCGTACTTACATGCAAAAGTAATCCAATTGTTTCTATAGAATCAGTTACGTCTGTTATAGTTACCCTTTCTTTGATAAATAGTAACAATATTGACAGAATAACTATACTTAGATTTAAAACCGCTCCTAAAATATAAATCATTACTTGTAATACACTACCCCTTTTGTCTGGATGTGTCCCCATTAAATTGAACAATTTTAAACAGAAATTTATATTATAAAAAGACATTGTCTTTTCTTTCTATGTAAGTCTGTCGGGGGTCTCTTTGAGAGTATGCAAAAAGCTTAGTGAATATGTAACTTTGCAAATCCTCCGGAGTTTCTATGAAAATATAATGCTAATTGGCATGCTGTGATATGTAGAATATTTAAAAATTGTACTGTCTGTCCAATTTGACGTAAAATATTCATAGCGCACGTCGTAAGATCACTGGTTACTGATAATAAGGTAAGACTTCGCTTTAATTACCAGCGACGTCAAACTTAGAAATAATACCTGCAATTGCGTGTATGTCTGAATATAGACCATATGATTAAAAAGTTCTCTTTATTCAAAAATTGTGAAATAAATGACAAATTGAATAATCAAATAAGCCGGCGAAATTTCCGTATCCCTTTAGGATAATTAATTTACTTATGCATTTTTAGCTACACAGTATTTTTGAAGAAATATACATTTTGTCTCTGCCTAAAGATTTTGTTTATTCTTGGTTGAAAGTCTTTTCTAGAAAAAGGATGCAAAAAATAAAACTTAAATCTTAAATTATGCAGTCATTGGTGCAATATTTTATTCATTGCATTTTACACATTTTATGTAACTATACTAACAATAAGTGGAGTGAATCGATCTAATAAATACTAACATGCCACAATTAAACATCAACGTGTCTGATCTTGCCCAATTCCCATAGTCCGTATGAACATGGCATAAGACACCATTGTTCTAATCGTCTGAAAAAATCCAAATCATATTAAAATTAGCTGCAGTATTAATTTAAAATTCAGTTTTATTTATTTCATTAGTTGAGGGGCCTCCCCCCCCCTCAACTAGAGGGGTTACTAAATATAGAATACATATTGATTGATATACTTTTTTAATTTATTTAATTAGTAGTACGATTTCTAAATTTATATTAGATTTTTTATTGAATTAAGATAAAATTAATACGATTCTAAATAACCTTTAATTGACATCCTCCTATAGACTTCAATGAATTATCAATTAATTATTATCTAAAACAAAAAAACCTCTTTGTAGTAGCTGTTTTTTACGTATTCGTATTGTTCTTTGTCAAAGTAATATTAAAGCGTCAGGAATAGTGATGTAAATGGTAAAATGACAAATTGTTACTTACATAAATTACTGTAAAATTACCGTAATATTACGCACCGCGAGATAACGGATGTAATTTATGTAATTTTTGTAACTTACGTAAATTACGTAATTTACTGTAATTAATGTTAATTTACACTTAATTTTAAATATCGCGCCAATTTCAATTTTGACATTTAAGGTTTTATAACCTTTCTTTTATTTTAGCAATATTATCATTCATTCTGAAGACTTGAGTATGGTGATAGTGAGGATGAGGACCAGGATTATACAAGCTCTAATAGCTGTTTTACATTGACAATTTATTCATGAATAAATTAACGAAGTTCTTCATGAATTAATTCACGAATTTATTGGTAAACAGTGTAGTTTAACACTGCTACAGACTTTGACGCATAAATCAGTTCTACCAACAAATCAAAGAAGCAAATAAACTTCAAAAAAACTAGTACCTACGACGCCACACAATTATTTACATATTCTAATAACATAACCTCATTACTGATCTAAGGCAGGAAATCTGTTGGGTTGGTACCTCTGAACTTCACGAAGAAATTGACGAAAATTAGAGCATGTTCTAATTTGTCAAGAACTTGATGAATAAATTCATGAAGTTATTTGACAGTAGACAAGAAATTCGACAAGTGTAATGCACCAAGCATTACACTTGTCCAATTTCTTGATGAAGCGACTCCATGAATTAATTCATCAATAAATTGTCAATGTAAAACAGCTATAAGAATAAGGTATTACCTGAAAGAAATGAAGGATTTGAGGCAGAATGTAATGAAAAAAGGCATGTTATTGTTATACAAAATATTTCACTTGAAAAGGTTTGTTTTTCGTTGTTGCATTTTCCGTTCATAATTTTGACCAAAATTTAGGTTGACCATGCAAAGACCGAACTGACAGAAATAGATAGAACGAAAGAGGTAAAAAAGGAAACAGAAATAAACGACTAAGAATTAAAAGCTGTTAATTGTAATACATTCTACCAAAAAAGGCCTATTTCCCAGAAAAACAAATGCTTAAAGGAACGAAAGCTGTTTTAAATAGAAACCTAAATATTTGTATTTAGATTTGATTTATTTTATTTTTACTGCTGCACTTATATGAATGTTACTTATATGAATAAAATTTTTAATTTTTTTGCATAAAAATCGACAAATATTATTTTTTAATCATTGAATTGCAGTTTTATAGAAGCTGGGTACCTATTGAGAAGCTAGACAAGCTGAGTACACTTTAAAATGTGGTAAAATTTAAATGTTATAAATTACATAAATTACAAGCTAATTTGTAAATTACATGAAATGTTACCAGTAAAATTACATTTTCATAAATTACAAGTAATTTAACATCACTAGTCAGGAATACAAAATATTTCTTTGAATACAGGGTGAGTCATTAATAATGGTACACAGCTTAATGGCAGATTGTTAACGTCAAAATATAGTGATTGGGCTTTAGTCAATTGTTGCTCCTTTTGATTCTACAGGGTGTTACAATTGCAAAAATATTTTCGATTTTTTGCTATATTTTAAGTATGTATGGACCGCTTGCTTTGAAAATTTGTGGTTTTAAGTTTTTTGAGGTGGCAAATACGAATATGCAAATAGTGTTGGGGTCACTAGTAGTTATACTGCCCTGTGAATGTAAAAATATGTCTAACTTTTATATTTTACAATTTTTAATTTTTTAACTAGAAATTATTGCACTACAACTTGTTACAAGTCGATAAACTCGACCGTTTTCAAGATACGGACATTTTAAGTTTTTGAGATTCGGCGGGAATTAAATTAGAAAATTAGCAAGTCATAAGATACCAAGCCCGAATTGAGAATTAAGACAAACATTACAGTAACTGAAAATTTTATTATGCGTATCTTAACAAAATATTAATCATAAAAGATTCTCAATGCACTGATTTAAATTTTGTCTGATGCTAAATAAAGTTCTACGTTGTTTGATAATATGAACTGATTCTGACTATTAATAATGTATTTGTAAACTAGAGATTTAAGATAGCCCCAAAATAAAAATCCAGCGGATTTAAATCAGGGGTACGTGCAGGCCAAGGTACTTCGCTACCGTGTCCAATCCAACGGTGCGGGAAATTTCTATTAAGATATTCTCTTACTTCTCGTGTATACTGTGCTGTCAATTTAATATGTCGATGCTTACTACTTTGGAAAAAATAATTTTTTAATTTAATTCCCGCCGAATCTCAAAAATTTAAAATGTCTGTATATCGAAAACGGTTGAGTTTATCGATTTGTAAAAAGTATACCTTTTTTATTTAGAATTGAACATAGTTCAATAATTTCTAGTTAAAAAATTAAAAATTGTAAAATACAAAAAGTTAGAAATATTTTTACAGTAATAGAACAGTATAACTAGCGCCCCCTAGACATGACCCCAATACTGTTTGCATATTCGTATTTGCCACCACAAAACACGTAAAATTACAAATTTTCAAAACAATCGGTCCATACATACTTAAACTATAGCAAAAATTTGAAAATCTTTTTTCAACTTTAACACCCTGTAAAACGAAAAGGAGCAACAATTGATTAAGGCATGTTTGACTCAATCTCAATATTTTGACGTTAACAATCTGTCATTAAGCTGTGTACCATTACTAATGACTCACCCTGTATATAAGTACAGGTTAAAAATCCAGGGGTATATTCTGTGGTCAAAAATAAGGGTTTTTTGTTATATAAATATGGGGGCTTAGGACAGTGATTGTCCAGCTGCAGCGTGTCAAAAGTTAACAAGTTTTTAATTTTACCAGTGGCGGAGGTACCCACACTTCGGTTATTATTTGCCAAAGAAAAATATATGTCGCCCTGTACTTAAGAAACACCCTCTATATAGCCTTCTGGAATCGAAAAACAATTGATTTTTTCGAATTTGTTTGAATTAACTTACGGATAATTAATTTATCCATTCGAGTTAACATGTCCATAGAACATCATGTGCTATACGGGATTCACTTGTTGAAATACCTATTTTTTCTGAAATAATGTTTTTGTAAAAAAACATCATCCAAATATAGTATGTTCATAACTTTTTCGTTTCATCAAAAACTGTAAACTTTTATCAAAACAGGAAGCAGTAAATAATAAAAGTCTAAAATTATGATACTTGCTTTCAGACAGGTTTCCAAATCAATTTTGACAATACCACCAGCTAAAATATGTGTTTTCTTCTGACTTCTCCCGAGTATCATCAACTGAGCTACTTTTGCTGAAGATGGATTCTCGTACCATCTACTAAAATAAGCGTATTCCGTTGTACGATCCGCCTTAAAAAGAAAGCTTAATTCTTTTAGATTTCATCACAGAAATATTGAAAAATTAAGACACAACATTATTATTGACTCCTCCGACTAGTTCTAAATGTTTTCATACCTCATCAGATAGAGCTTGTGCGGGTAAGCAATAACAGAAAATATATTGAACCAGTGCATTGGTCAAGTAAAATAGAGGTTTTATTAATTCCATTAGTGAATGCCTATAAAAGATCAAGAATGTTTAGTACAAATTTTTCTGGAGCTATTGTAGTGTGTAAATAACTTACTGTGTCGATACAATGTACATTTGGACGCACATGGACAACACGATGACAATGACGTATACAAGTAACCCTTCAGAAAATACGTCATTTATTCTGTTTACAAAACTGAAAATAAATAATTATAAAGTAAGGTCAAAATTAAAACATTTGAAAAGTCTATGTCTAATTAAGATGAAATGAAAATTTTTTTCTTAAGAATTTTGTCACAATTTCGAATATTTTTTTCCTTTAAATAAAAGAAATTTCTGCCGCCACTGTTGGTGGCACGGAAATATTTGTAATCACAAACATTAAAAGATAAAAATATATTTGAGCTGTTCAAGACGTTCTTATCGTTTTTTGATAAAAACATTTTTTTATGCAAGAAATACGATTCAAGGAATGGTAAAAATTTATATATTTACTTTACAAATAATGGACAGACTAAGGATGGTTTCGGTTTTTTTCAATCTCAAAGTATCCCAAAAAAACTCAAGAAATCAAATTGCTGTGATTTTTCTTTCATTGCGATCCGAAGGACTGCACTTTTGCTAAAAATCAATTAAAGGATAAATTCCATATTTTATTCATTTTTTAAATTCAAAATGTTTTTTTCGCAAAAATTCATTTTTTTATCAAAAAATATTAAATATCGAAAAACGAAGAAAAAAATTATTTTTATTTTTTTTACAATACTCAATGCTACACAATCGTAAAAAAATGTCCTTCATTTTTTTACCCGTTCCCACATAATTTTCAAATGTCAATTTAAAAAACTAATTATTGCAAAAAGTTGTAACCCCTAGTCACTCGCTGTATTTTCTTCTGCAAATCTCGAACAACTAACTCCTAGAGGTATTTTCAAGAAAAAGAAAAGAATTTAGCGAGTTATAGGAAATCATATTTTATTATATTGTTCGAAAACGTGAACAGATATCAAAACATTAATCTTAATCTAGAAAAGATCAGTGGTATACTGGAAGAAAGTTTTGGGAGCTGAAAAGAGGCCCAACCCCAGAAAAACTATCACCCTGTAGATCGTGACGACTATTAAGCAGGGCTAATGATGCAGGTAATTTAAGTTAGCTTACGTTCCGAATTTGAGCTGCACATCTCAAAAATTGTGGGAGATACAAAGAAAAGACAGAAAATTTATTGAAACTTTAACAGCATTGACGGACATATGTTTATATGAACTTTTTTTACTTAAAATCATGCGCAAATTCACCCCCGTGAATAAAGGCATACTACTATGAAACATACTGTATACCAGTGAATTACATAGATTCACTAAAAGAATAAAGTTACTACTTACTCCAAAAGGAAGTCGTGGTACTCGACAATTTTTTTAATTTTTTTATCGAAATGTTTCCATTTTCCTTCTGAACTGGCCATCTCATTGAACACCTTTTCAATTTCTTGATTTAGTAACTTAAACTGCAACTTGGTGAGCAGTAGCAACGTCAGTATGAACTTGTCCAATCCAGGAAGAGGAAGATAAATGCCAACTATAAACGCTATACTCTCATAAACTTGTAGGACATAAAATGGAATCCATTCTGGTCTGTAGGTGTTAAAAGTTATTTCGCCATTTATGTACAAAGGTCTACACGTGAAAGTTATTGTAGTCCAGATACACAAAATAGTGTACAAGAGGAACACAGTTTTCATGAATTTTAGGTATTTCATGTGCTCTTTTTTCTCCTCTTCGTCTTGGATGTCTTCGATTTTCCAAAAATGACCAATTCTGTCGAGCAAATCGCGGACTTTGTTTCTTTTGACGAAAAGCAGAGTACATTTTGTAATTCCCTTAAAATGATTAAATATGTATACGATTCTTAAACGATTTGAAACATAGGTAAAAATAAACATGCTGTTTAACAATTTTTGACACTGTCGCTCGCACGCGCGAAAAGTAAGTGACTCAAAACACGAAAAGTGGGGGAGGGGGCTTTCACTCTGAGATTAATTCAGAGGTTCAAAATGCGAAGGTAACGAAAAAAATTTCATTATCTCGGCTTCTAATGGACCAATTTCGATCTTTTTTTTTTATTCCGATGTCTCGCGAGCCAAGGAATTCGAATATCGTAATGCCAACTGTCTAATTTGCACATATTTTGTTTATAAACAAAGTTTATTATTTATGAGTTAAATATACTGTATGTTTTACCCTAGCTATTGCATTTTTTCAATGAAAAAATTTGTTTACGTATATATTTCAACACTTTGAATAGGAATATATTTAGTTATAATTATTACAATTATTTAAATAATCTTTGTTTAAACAAATAAAAAAAAATGTGTTAAATACAGATAAAATTTAAAAAAATAATACTTAAAAATTATAATTTTTGAAAAAAACTAAATTGCAAATGGATAAATGTAATCTAATTGTTTTAAAAAAAAAAAGAGTCTTAACTTTAAAAATTTACTGTGGCCATCCTAATCAACCAATTTCAAATTTTCAAAAACCATTTGAAATGTTGAGCGGTCTTTTTTATGTGAAAAAATTTTCGAGTATCTAGATGCTTTATTTAGGCTGTGAAACATTTTGAAATTTCGAAAAATTTGTTTCTAAATATTATTTTGCGAAAACTATCTAACCTATTTCAATGAAATTTGGTATGTTGTTTTATTAAACTCTAAAGTTTCTTTACCAAAATTAGAATGCCCTTGGAGCAATTAAAATATTTATTTAATCAATTATTGACATTTTGCAACATCGGTAATAAATTTAAACATTTTTAACTTGCAGTATATTGTGCAAAATTCAATTCTAAAACTTTTTTCCTCTTCAATATTCTTCTAAAATGCATAGGTTCCAAGATGTAAATAAAAAACTCAGATAAAATAGGTATTTTTAAAAAATTTTTAAACATTTTTGCATTTTGAAAATGTTCCGGACCTAGCCTAGATCAAGGGATCTACACTTTTATTATGTGAGTTGTACTGAACGTAATCCATGGTGCAACGCACGCAGGCGCCACTTCAAAAGGGCCTCAAACCGAAGGTTTGGCAAAAAAGAATTTTTTAAAATCCAGAAAAAAAATAAAAAAAAATTATGCGCAGGGTGAATAAAAATAAGTAAATGCCTCTACTAGTTAAGTTTCAAGCAAATACTTAGTGGCCACATTTAGTTTGTTAAGGATTAACAAGTATTAACTTTCGGATTGACGGGTAAAAGCGTTCATTGTTTTTATTCACCCGACCCAATGTAAGAAATATGAAATATTTATTTTGGTGCTACGACATATTAAATTTTCATACAGTTTTAACTTAAGGTTTTATTAAACACTTAGAAATGAAATTAATAATTTTATCAATATTTGTATGTAATATACATAAATAATATTTTTAAATTAAACTACTACTTTAAATAAAATCTGGTGCACTAAAAACGGGAAAATAATTATTAGGACACATTATGAGACTTTCTAAAGATTCTAACCTCTTTAAAAATTAACAATTAATTTAAAATGTGGGATGTAGGTTAAAATATTTTTTTAGCGAACTTGCCCGCCCACGTTTTTATTTTTAATTGTTAAATGTTCCAGAGGTCAGGATATCTCAGAAATATTTTTACCTATACTTTCTATTTTTTGGTTTTTAGTTTTTCACTTGACTAGAACTATCTCTACTCTACGACTGAAACATTAAATGATAAAAAGACCTTTAAAATGAGGTATTACTTGATCTCCTTTTAATTTAAAATTTTTAAGGGCAGCTCTCACCCTCGCTCAGGGGTTGATACTGTGGGGTTAAACATAAAATATGATAATATAATATTTTCTTGGAAACCTAAAATATGTGCGGAAAGTTTTGTAAGAATCGGTTGAATAGAAGTAGTTCAAAAAGCTATTGCAAGATTAAAAACAAACAATAAACAACTATACTGGTCGAGCGATATTAAATAAAATCGTTTATTAACAATTAAACCCTTATTTTAAATGTTTGTTACTATTTAACATTTTTGTTGTAAATAAAGAATTGCATTTTTTTAAACCAAATCCGAATATTATGCAGTATTCGTAAATTGCCAAGCTTGTCTATAAACGTGAAAACTTGTCGAGCTGTAAAAATTGGTCCAGACGCATATTTTGGTGGATTTTTCGGACTCGAAAGGTTCACGGGGTATAAATTAAAACAACGAAACGCGTTAGCTAATCAGTTCTTGATATTCACACAAGAAAACGGAAGATAAATTAGACGTGTTTTAAAGTGGTAGAAAGAAAATATTCGATTTGATCAAGTGTTTTATATTTTTTGTTATTGTGTTTGGTGTGGAAATTAAATTGAGAATTGAGGGTGAAATGGTAAGTATTATATTATATCATACAAAAAATAATATAAATAATTGGACATATTCTAATAAAGTAATAAAATCCAAAATTAGTTTTTTTAAGGCATATCAAAGTTTATTTTATTTTAAATTATTAATTAATTTAATTATTAAGGAAAATATAAAATATGTAGGTATAAGGTATATAAAATATTAGATGCCAAAATAGCTTTGTAATACTTAGAGCATCGTTTGATTTTTAATAAAGTATTGATTACTATACATATGGGGTAATTATTAAAATAATATTTTTTATTTTTAGTTTGTACCAAAAAAACAAAAATTGAAAAGTTAATTTCAAATAAACTTAAAAATGTATAAATATAAACTTTGACTGTGCCTGGGCTAAATTATTAATTTTTAGCTTTAGATAAATAATTAAATTAAAAATAAGTTTGTAATTTAAAAAAAAATAGTTCTAAAAAAGCTTTTTTATCATTAAATATTTTTTATTTGTCTAGATGTTTGCCTACATGTGGGTTTTTCTTTAAAAAATACTGACGATAATTTCTTAAATAATAATTTTTGCAGCCGTTTAAATGATTTTATTAACTATTTTATATACAGGGTGGTGCTACGAAAACTCTGATCGATCGATTAGAATTTCCTCAGTGCGTCCTTCACAAGTAAAATATTTTAATAGTCTTGACACTTATACGGGCTATACGTATACGTCAATTTTGTCAATGTAAATAGTCACCCTTTATATTATTATACAATAGTTAGATTCTACGTAAAACTCGAAACTCGAGGATAATCTCTTAAGATTTAATATGGCTTTTAACTATAATGGTATTATTATTTCCAATAAAAATAAAATAAAAAAAAATCTGTTGTTTTATTATAAAATAAAAAAATATATATTTTTTTTATAACTGGATTTCGTACATTAATAAAGGGCACCAAAATAATGTCCCGCACGTGCAGTAAATTACATACTACATTACTAATGGATAACCAATACAATTTGTATACATACGTGGCACATTATCAATACTGTTTCCAATGCATACGTTATGTCTATTATAGTAATACTCTTGTTGTATACCAGGAGCAACATGCCAAGGTAAATTATACTCATTTGGAAACTGAGAGTAGTACCATACAGAAGTACTTGGGGAATAGTGTATCCTTTCCTGGGATTGACACCCATCGCGTTTAGTATTATAATGGAAAAATTAAGGAGTGTAAAATACATCTCCAAAATAAGTTACGAAAAACTATTCACTGTTAACGTCGACGTAAAGTTCTATTCTAGTCATAAATCCATCAAGCCATTACTTTTATCGGCTTTAGATACATGAAAAATTGAAAAGTTTACCGATAAAGTTTATCCAAGAAGTAGTATCAAGGCTAGCAATTAATAATTGCTCATGATTAACTACCAATAAAGTTTATTTAAGAAGTAGCTTCGGGACTAGCAATTTGATAAAGATAATTTGATAAAGATAAAGTTCATAAAGAGTAATTAAATAAGTATGGCTTTCTCCAATTTTCATTAGAATAAAGTATATTGAATATATATTTTCAAATACTTTTAATATTTGAAAATATATATTCAATATACTTTATTTTTTCCTAGAGTAATTAGTGATAAGGGCAATTTTTTCAAGTTCCAGTGTTCAAGGTAAAATTTTGTAAGAATATTTAAAAGCTGCCAGTACGCTAGATACATTTCCAAATCAAATTTAATACACCCACCTGCTAAAATAACTGCTTTTTGTTGAGCTCCAGCGTTTGTGTCACTTTTACCGAAGATACAGGGTGTTATTTCCAGTTATTGAAGTGTAAGTAGTTTGATGTAAGCTTAGCCTACAAAAAGGGCATGTTAAAAAATCTCAATCATGTTTAAAGATACCAAAATACAGTAGGTATTTAGAAAACTATTAAAAAAACTAAAAACCATATTTTAAAATTAAAAAAAATTGGAAAAACATTAAATTATTGCAATTGTTTATAAGCGTGAAAATTGCAAAAATGTTTAAACAATTACCACGGCTCACCTAATCGTCCGATTTGAATTTTTCAAAAAGCATTTTAAAGATTGAGAGCTCTTCTTTTTGTGGTGAAATTTTCAAGTATTCAAGGGCTTTAGATTTTTTAGAAATTTGATTTTGAAAATTTTTTAATTTAAAACAAAAAAAAATTTAAACAATTATTAT